CTTCCTTCCTTCCTTCCTTCCTTCCTTCCTTCCTTCCTTCCTTCCTTCCTTTTTAAAAAAAGATTTATTATGTATACAGTGTTCTGCCTGCATATATGCCTGTAGGACAGAAGAGGGCGCCAAATCTCATTACAGATGGCTGTGAGCTACCACGTGGTTGCTGGGTATTGAACTCAGACCTCGGGAAGAACAGCCAGTGCTCTTAACTGCTGAGCCATCTCTCCAGCCCCCACTTTTATTTATTTATTTAGGTTTTTTTTTCGGGACAGAGTTTTTCTGTTTAGCACTGGCTGTCGTGGAACTCACTCTAGACCAGGCTGACCTCAAACTCACAGAGATCCACCTGCCTCTACCTGAGTTCTGGGATTAAAGGTGTGTGCCACCACTTCCAGGCTGGGGCATTTTCTTAATTTCTTCCCCCCACCCTTTGGTTCTACAGACAGGGTTTCTTTCTGTAACCAGGGCTTTTCTGGAACTCACTCTGTAGTTCAGCTGGCCTCAAACTGCCTCTGCCTCCTGAGGGTTGGGATTAAAAGTGTTCTCGATTTCTTGATTAACATGAAGGTTCAGACCACCCTGGGTGATGTCACCATAGACTAAGGTCCTGGGTGCTATAAGAAAGGAAGCTAAACAATCTATAAGGAGCGAGTCTGTAAGCAGCATTCCTTCATGACTCTGCTTCAGTTTTTGGTTCCAGGTTCCTGTTGGAGTTTCTGCCTAGTCTTGGCTGAGAGCCCTGGGTGGAGCTCCTGGGGTTCCCTGTCTTTCCTGCTACCCAAAGCTCCTTTGGAAACTAGCTTCCATTGCTATTATTCCTTCCTTGCTCTGGCCAGCATCCTCTCTTTGTAGCATCATAACTGGTTTCCATGGATACAAAAGGCTGGGGTAGAACGGTGCTGATGTACGTGTAAACTTTGGAATGAAATAAAAGGCTGTCGTTTTTGCCGGCCGTTGAGTCCCGTTCATTGTGAGCACATCCCAGGGGACTTCAGAATGGGCATCACTAACTCCCTGGTCTCCAACCATGTTCCAGCCTGCCTGGCTAATGGATCGTGGAGCCCTCCCCCAACACCCCAGATCTTCATCTCACTCCTCCTTCAGGCTTCCTCTTAGTTCTGGCTCATGCACAGAAATGTCAACAGGTGAGGAATGATCTGCTGTAAATAAGCAGAAGGTTCCCGCGGGGTTGGCACTATCACAGCCAAAGGGTTTTTTTTTTTTT